AACAGTAATATCCTTATTTTTTAAATGAGGAAATTGAAGTACAGAGAAATTAAATTACTTGATTAAAGTCATGCATTTAGTAGAATACGGAACTGCAATATGAAAAACCCAAATGTATTTAATACCAAATTTATGTTATCTTTGCTATACCACACGATCTAAGATACCTCTTGGCTTTGTGGGCATGAAAAAGACGACAGTTACCTTTTTATTTTTCAGCGTGGTATATTTTTTAGGGTAAATGATACTAGCCACAACTTCAGAATATCCTCTCCTTCTCAGTGGCTTAACTTCGCAGAATTTTATTTCTCATTTAAATGGAGTCCAGTTGGGTGTGTCTAGTTGATAGGTGGCCTTTGATGTCATCATTTAGGGATTCAAGAATCTCTGTCTTATAGCTCTGTCCACCCCCTAGCCCTCAGTCTTCTCCAGGCAGCTGAAAGGGAGAAAAAGCAAAGAGATAAAGGGAAAGAGACAGCATGGAAGATACCTGAGGGAGTTTTTAAATTATTTTGTGTGGGGTGGAGGGGCGAGCTTAGAAGTGGGGCACAGCCTTTCCACTCCCATTCCATAGCCACACTCAACTTCAAGGGAGGCTGGGAAGTGTAGTAGAACTGTGAATCTAGGAGGAAAACAAAGTGGGTTCCAGGAGAGCTGACCGGTCTTGCCTTCATGCTTTGACACATGAACTTGTTTCCCCTTTTTCTTCTGATAAGTAAATCTAGTTAGGAATTTTACTTTATTTGAATGAGTTAGCTTTTCATGTTGATCTTTTAGGAAATAAAAAACCTGTCTGTAACAGGAAGACATCCCAGGGAATGTTAATCATGTCCTCTCTTGTTCAGAGTTGATGTAAAAATTCTACCAAATCATTTACTATTTTCGTTTTCCTGTATTTTAACTCTTCGATAAATAGTGGCTTGGCTGGGGCTTTTGTGGCTGGAACTGCCCTTCATTGCTTGTCTAGAGAGGCAGTAGAGCAAGGTGGTCAATAGTATAGACTATAGGATCTGGTTTCAAATCCCAGCTGTGTCACTCACAAGCTGCTTAACCATGGATGAGGTATTTGACCTTGCTATACCAAGAACACCCACCTGAGGGTGCTGTTATGGGGATTTAGTACATTAACATATTGAAAGCCCTCGATACACAATATGGGCACACATTAAGTGCCGTATAGGTGCTGGCTGTTATGTCTGCTCTTTCAGCTCCACTTTATTCTTCATTCAAAACTCAGTGCAGTGTCTCCTTCTTTGGAAAATTTTCTCTATGGCAGGCAGAATTCTGGTTTTTGTTTTGTTTTGTTTTTCCTTTCTGCTTCCAGGAAACGTTGAATTTAATGCATTGAATTATAAGGTTTGTCCATACATGTGTCTGTCTCAGGCATTAGATCTAAAGACAAGAATTTGCCCATTCTAAATTTGCCTGTATGTATTCCCATAGCCAGCACAGCACAGCACAGTGTCATACACATTGTAGGCAATCAGCTATTTGCTGATGTGAAGGAAACCTCATTAACTAGAATACCCTATACATCAGAAAGTTCCATTTCCTTACCACACTGGAGAGCAAGGAGTTCACTGTATTAGCTTTTACTTTTCATTTTAGTTGACTTGGGTGACACTGGATTTAAGTGACAGATCACTGTGCCCTACCTGCCTTTTTACATTATCCAGTCCACCCAAACTGTCCCTCCGGGACCAGCCGCCTTTGTGCTAAGATTCTGATTTTACTTTGGCTGGCATGTATAGCTTCCCTTCTGTAGGGGTACATGTAGGAATGTGATAATTCAATTTCTTAGTTTGTGTTATCTTATCAGCATTAGTCTGTGCCATGCACCTTTCTTGTTTCATTCATTCACCTTTTTCTTGCCTCACCATTCCCACCAGGCCTGTGATAGGAAAATTGTATGAGTATCCTTAGCTAACCGATAATATTGTTTTTGCATGTGTGAATTTTTAGTTTACATACATTATGGGCCTTGTTGGTTTTTTCTCTATTTTTTAAACTGTTAATGTTAACATAACTTTAAGCTCACAGAAAACTTATAAGAGTGATACAAGGAACAATCATATTTGCCAGGATTCTGCATTATTTGGAAGGAAGAGAAAGTGTGTATTCATAGAGATATATATATATACAAACAGTATTGTTATTATGAACACTTTGAGAGTTAAGTTGTAAACATCGTTACCCTCTACCCCTAAATACTTCAGTGCCTATTTCCTAAGAACGAGACATTCACTTAAGTATATACTGCCCAGTTAGCAAAATCAGGAGATGGAGTATCAATAAAATACTATTACATAATTTGCAAATCTTATTCAAATTTTCCCAATAATATCCTTTATGGGATTTTTCCCCCTGCCCTAGCATCTAATCCAGGATACCATCTTGCATGTAGCTTTTATGTCTTTTTAAATCTCTTTTAATCTCCAACTGTTGTTCAGCCTTTATTTTTCATGACGTTGACATTTTAAAGACCACAAGTAGTTATTTTGTGGACTGTCTTTCAATTGAGGTTTATCTGATGTTTCTTCATGATTAGATTTCCTCCTCCCTCCTCAGCAAGGTTTCTTTTTAAAAAAATACTGTTTTTAAACTCTCTTCATGTTGATACATCTGTATTATTTGTTGATTCCACCTGCTGCACAGAATTCCCTAATGCAGATTGGAACAGATTGGCAGGGCTGCCAGGAAGGCAGTATCCGGCAGACCTTCCTTGGCATCAGGATGGTGTCTTTGCGGGGGCTGTGTGACATGGGACATGAGAACACCACTTTGACACCTGTGCCCTGGGTCACCCTGCTTTAGCTGATGGTGGTAGGCCTCAGATGTTTGCTTCTTCAACTGTTTCTGAGGCACACGGAGCTATTATGCTTTGCAAGATAAGGTAGCATAGGAAGTTGATCTCTTCGATTGTTTCTTCCTTAATTAATTCATGCATTTAATAAATATTGATTAAGGGCCTACTCTGCTCATTGGAGCTTATCTTCTAGCATATTGAATATGTAAAATAAACTTTTGAATTGAAAACTCATCTAACTGTGACAGAAGCAAAACTTTTAAAATTGAGGTTAAGTTAAATAGTTTGACATTTTCAATTTATTAGTAAAATAACCTTATAGAAATTATGCTTCTGCCTCGTCACCCAAATACAGTGATTTCCATTTGTCTCTGGACTCTTCTGGTATTTACCAACATTGAACATCGTTTGTGCCTCATTATCTCTATAGGGCATAAATAATTTTGCATTCCCTTTTTTCCAGTGAAAATTATTTTGTATATACTTTCCCTTGTTTCACAACTTGCATATTCATCACCCTTAATGACTGTAGTAAATTATTTCAAGCTGATCTATAACTTATGCATATCTCCTATGTTGTAAATTTGCCTTGTTTCTAGTTTTACCACTAATATTAGGAAAAAAATTTTAAAGGAAGTATGTATCCGGCTCCTGTGTTAAGGCAGTTTTGACAAATAGTTTCATCTAAAATCGTTCATTCTAAGATACAAAAAAGGTTAGATTCCTTTGAAGAAAACACATTCTGTCTTTTTTTTAGGAAAACTTATTTTTTCTTGATTATGTTTGGAGCCTCCATTTATAATGGAAAGATAATTAGTAGAGAAAGACCTGATGTGCTTGGAGCTTTGCCAGCTGAAAACCTTGCATGTATCGTTAGGAAACAGCAGGTTTCCAGTGGGGAATAGTAGAGTAATGGACTGTGCAGCTAAGATATAAGGCTGCAGCGTGACAGCTCCCAACCGCAGCAACTTCACAATCACTCACTTTCCTTGACACAAGTGGACAGTCTTTCAGTTCTTCCGCACTTTCCTTGTGAGAACCACCGGAGGGATACATCACCCTCTGGCAGGAGGCAGTCAGCTCCATCACAGCAGGGAGGACTGATGAGCTGTCTATACCTCTGGACACACCTAGGAATGATTCCACAGCGGTTGCTCAGTCCTCAACGAGGACTCAGGAAAGCAAGAAATGGACATAGTTCTCATTTACAGATCACTATATCTCACCCCATCCAGAATCTTCTGAGCATCCGGTGCTGAGAGGTGCTTGCCAGGGGTGAGGTGGAAGCTCATGATCAGTGGGTGGTTTCAGGGATTATTTCTAAAGAGGACACAAATAAAAGATTTGTGACTAACTAACTGGACCTTGGTAGGGTGGAATAACTGAGACATTAATTGTTTGGTAGGCTCTGTTAGAAACTTCAAAGATCCTAGGTAGGGCCCTGACCTCTTCTGTATTAGTTATGTGCCTGTATGGATTAGATGAGGATTTTCTTCATATACAGAATTTTTACCTTACTTTTCCTCCATGAGAGTAGGACCTTGTGTGTCTGGTTTCTTGCTCTATTTTCCGTTGATTAGTATGGAGCTTAGAGGGTAAGAAGTGCTCAATAAATATTTGGTGGTTGGACAATGACTTAAGCTGCATGGTTCTGTAGACTAAAAACATGATCATCTAGGCAGCTGCAATCTATTTGTTTAAAGGATTCTCTCAGATTACTACAGAAATGAGTAGGAGCTAAAGAAACCAAAGCCAGGGAATAGCAGGGTGCAAAGGAAAGTACAGTGGCTTTAGAGCCAGGCGGATAAGGGTTCTTATCCCAACTCTACTACTCACTGCTGTCTTCACTTGGTTGACTCATTTATAATCCCTAAATCTGAGCTTTCACACCTATAATGTGTATCAAACCACTTTCCTCACAGAGTTTGTGGGCAGTTCATTGCTCAGAGTGGACACTCAAAAATGTCACCTTCTTCCTCCCTCCCCTGCCAGAAGGGAGACAAAAACAGGAGGGGCCCAGATGATGTGTCCAAGTGTTAGATCTCTGCATTTGTGTTATCTGTCATTTAAAGTGTGCCACATATTGGCTTCTCTTCATACAGCAGCTAATGGCATGCGTACTTCAAACAGCATATGTACCTTTTGGTTCTGCTTTGAGCCTCTCTATTAGTAACTGTGTTCTTTGTCTTTACAGGATTTATGAGCGTGTGATAGACCCTCCAGATACCAACCTTCCCCCAGGAATCAATTTATGGCTTGGCCAGCGCAACCAAAAGCATGGCTTATTCAAAGTAAGCACTAACATTCTTTTTATTGAAGTATATATATAGGCAATGCTCAATTTTCCGTGTTATTGGAGATGCATTTATAATTACATTAGTGGGAAGGGCATGGCATAATAACTACTAATGTTTATTGAACACTTACTTTGTGACACATGCTTTTCTATGTGCTTGACATGAATAAACTGGTTTACTTGTCCTAATAATTTATGAAGTAGGCGCTTTGAAACCAGGCAGAGTGTTAAGTGACTTGCCAAGATTATCCAGTTCACTTTGCTGCCAGGTATGGATGATCCAGAATGCAAATGACCTCAAAACGTTGACCTCCCAATTCTGAAGGATTTAGGATAATCTTCAAACTGGTTTCCCTTCTCAGATTATATGTTAATTCAGTTTAGAGTAGATGTCGAGATATGAAAACTAAATCTCTGCTTCCTTGAACTTTGGTTTAATTGCATTACTGGGAACAGAAAACCAAATACTGCATGTTCTCACTTTTAAGTGGGAGCTAAACATTGAATGCACACGGACACAAAGATGGGAACAATAGACACTGTGGACTACTAGAGGTGGGAAGGAGAGAGGGCGCCATGGGTTGAAAAACTATCTGTTGGGTACCATGCTCACTACCTGAGTGACTGGACCATCCATGCTCTAAACCTCAGCATCATGCAATATACCTGTGTAATAAACCTACATGTGTATCTCCTGCATCCAAAAATTTTTAAAAAATAACTGCATTATTATACTTCACAAAAACATGAGGATACAGTGACAAAATAAATTGAAAAACTTAAAAATGCCATGAAATTTTAAGACAGTCTTGTTCTTTAAAAGAATGACACACTTTTGCTTCTGGCAATATGGCAGACCAGATATTCTAAAAATCCTTCTGCTTCAAAATGCCTATAATGCTCGATAAAATATCCCAAAAACCTTTTAAAATTCAGCATTGTACTTATATGAAAGGAATTCCTTGGGGACCAAATATGTGGAGGGGAGAGAAAGCCAGAGGGATATCAGTACCAGGAACTTAGAGCCTTAGATTCCTTCCTTTTAATTTTTAAAAAATTAAGGTGTAATTCCACATGTTCTCACTCATAGGTGGGAGCTGAACAATGAGAACATGTGGACACAGGGCGGGGAACATCATATACCGGGGCCTGTCAGGGGTTGGGGACTAGGGGAGGGATAGCATTAGGAGAAATGCCTAATGTAAATGACTAGTTGATGGGTGCAGCCAACCAGCATGGCACATGTATACCTAGGTAACAAACCTGCACGTCATGCACGCGTACCCTAGAACTTAAAGTATAATTAAAAAAATACAAAAAGAAATTAAGGTATAATTTACATACAAGAAAATTCATTCCATTTAATGTACAGTGTCACAAGTTTTGGAAAATCTACGCTGTATTATAATCATCATTATAATTGAGATAAAGAACCATTTCTTTACCTCCAAAAATTTCCATCCCCCTTTGTATTCAACCCTTCTCCTCGCCCGAAGCCTTTAGCAACCACTGGTCTGTTTTCTGACCCTGTAGTTTTGCCTTTACCAGAATATTATATAAATGGAATCATATATGTGTGTGTGTATATTTACATAAGTTTGTATGTTGAGATTCACCAAGTTGTTATGTGTATCAGTGGTTCATTGTTTTCTATTGCTGAGTTAGTATTCCAGTTCTGTTGTATGAATGTATCATAGTTTGTTTGTCCATTCTTCAGTTGATGGACATCTGGGTTATTTCCAGTTTGGAACAACTATGAATAGAGCCTCTATAAACATTTGCATACAGGATTTTGTGTGAACAGAGGTTTTGATTTCACTTAGGTAAGTGTGTGGGTATGGGATTATTGGGTTGTATATAAAGGTATGTTTAAATTCACAGGCAGCTGCTAAACCATTTTTCAAAGTAGCTGTGCCATTTTTTGCATTCCCACCAGCAATCTATGAAAATTTCAGTTAGAGCCTTAAATTTCAACCATCTTTGTAGGATGGGAGGAATTACTTAGATCCCATGCATGAATGAGTGTTGGAATTTTTTTTTTTTTTTTTTTTGACATTTGTCTTCCCATGATCTGCATTCGTCATGAAGTCGTCCGGTTTAGATTCTCCTATGATAGTGGATAAGGCGATTGCCCTATTTTTTGTATTTTTAGTAGAGGGGTTACTGTTAGCCATGTCTCCGATCTGAGTGATGCCGTTGGTAAATGTGGATACAGCTGAGCAGGGGAATGGAAATTTTTAAAGTAAAGTCAGTCCACTATCTAGCAGAGGGAGGCAATCCAGAAACTATCCTGTCTACATCTCATCTCCAGGTAAGAAAAAATAATACTTCCCAGAGAACTAGTAAACCACAGCACTTGAAGGGTTGCAGACTTGAAACCCAGATTTACTTTACCCATGAAACTCAATAAAGTATATTAAAGTGGCCCTGGCCCTGGATTATGTACCTTGGGAGTCCTGATGAAGAAAATACAAATTATCTTTGGAGAAAGTCACTTTTGATGTACACCTCAAAGGATGCCCACAGATTAAGTCCATAAAATAGGAGCTCTAAAGCTATCATGAGTGACAGTGGAAAGAAACAAAAAAGTGCTCAGTTAGTCCTCAGAGGGCTACAGAAAATGAAATTAGCGGATAAGGAATGTTTTTTTAAAAAAAATTTTTTAAAAACTTCTGTTTAAAATATTTGAAGAATCAAAATAATAAAGAATGTATTATGACTAGAGACAATAAGTAGGCCCAGAGATAATTGAACTAAAAAGCACTTCCAAAAATGAAAGATATAGTTGTTGGAAATTAAAAAAAAAAAAACAACCAAAAACCTCACTGAACCTGCTAAACAGATTAGACACAGGTATGGAGAGCATTTGTGAAATGGAAAATATTGTTAAAGTAATTAAACTAATAGTAGTACTTCAGAGATAAAGAGAAGAAAATAGGAAAGAGGTTAAAATATAGCAAAGATACATGTATATAAAAAAAGTTTACGTGTCTGTTTAATATGTGTGTATATGTATGTGTATCTGTATAAAATGGCTATTCTGATGCCTCTGTGTTTTCTAAGTGGCTTCTTAGATAGCTTAGATAGATAGATAGCTTCTTAGATATGAATATTATTATATACATATATTTAAAAATTAAGGAAGATTATAAGGAATATATTATATCTATATATGCATATTTATTTGAAAATTCCAAATAATAAACAGAGATAAAGTTTATGGGTACTATTACAAGTATAATGGGTAAGAATTTTCTAAACTTGATAAGAGACATTAATTCTCATTACTGAAAGAACAATGAAATAAAAGTATATGTTGTTGATTGCTATCTAAGAAGCCACTTAGAAAACATAGAGGCATCAGAACAGCCATTTTATTTAGCTCAAAAGCCATTTTTTTTCTGCTTTGACCTGGCTAAGGTGATACTTGCTGGGCTCTCTCCCATGTCTGTGGTTAATTGGCATGCCAGCAGGTGGCAGGATGATCTGAGAGCCTCTTCACCTCTCTGGGGGTTGGCTGGCTGTTGATTCTTGTTCTTCAGTTGTCCTCCACATGGTCTCTCATCTCCAGTGGCCTAGCTCAGCTTATTTACATGTCAGCCTTGGGTTTCCAAGTATAGGAAGAGTGCAATCCCTAAAGTACTAATGCTTTTCAAGGCTTTGTTTGCTTGATCACATTTCCTAATGTTTTATTGCCCAAAGCAAGTCATATGGCCAAATCCAGAGTCAAAGGGTAAATAAATAGACTTCATCTCTTGAAGGGTTGCTCCATGATATCACATTGCAAGGATATGGATGCAAGGTGGGAAGAATTTTTTTTGGCCACATTAGTAACCTATTATACAAATCAAGATAAATAGACAGCCACACTTAGATATATTGGCAGAATAGCAGAACTCCAAAGACACAGAGAAGATCTTAAAAGTAGCCAGTGACAAAACACAAATTTTTCACAAAAGGATAACAAATTGAACAGCTGGCTTTTACCAGTAAAAGCAGAAGTCAAAAGACAGTAGAAAAAGTGTTTTCCAAGTTTCAAGAGAAAATAACTCTCAAATGTAGTAGCATATACCAAGCTTAATTGTCATTTGAGAATGAGTGTGACATAAAGACATTAGTAGAGAAATAAAACTCAGTTTATGACTAATAGATCTTCATTTTAAAAACTTCTTGGAAAGAAGACATATAGTGCAAGAAGAATTGGAGAGTAAATGCATATTGACAGCATGCACAAATCTCAGTGAGTATTATTCTGAATGATTGCCATTATCATTGTTTGATTAAAATATAATAGTAATGCTTAATTTTAGAAAAATAAAATTAAAAATATTGACAGTGGAATCCTTCACCAGCAACCAGGATATCCAGGTTCTCTCATCAAAATTGACTAGAAGGCTGGCGTGACTCATGGAGAGAGGGAAGAACAGTGTGGTGCGGCAGCCTACCTGAGAGCCACATGGGAAAGGGGAGCCCCCTCCCCCGCCAGCCAAGGGAGGCAGATTTCCAGTAACTCCAGCCAGAGACTCAGGGACGGAATTCAGATCTCCCTGGGCCCAAGCCCCTAGGGGGAGAGGTGGCCACAGTCTCTGTGGACCAGCAGACTTAGCCTCTTCTCTTGGTAGTTCTGAAGAATCCGGGCAGCTTAGACGACTGGGTTTCAAGCAAAGCACACCCGTTCCACTAATAGACAGAGTGCCTCATGAAACAGGTCCTGCTCCCTGTGCCACCTAACTGAATGAGAGCCTCCAACAGGGATTGTCAGACACCCTATACAAGAGCAATCCTGCTGGCATCAGTTTGGTGTTCCTTGAGGCCAGAGGTCCCAGAAGGAGCAGGCATCCATCTTTGCTGTTCTCCAGCCTCCTTAAGTTACATCTCCAGGCATGCAGTGAATCAGATGAATAGGGCCTGAAGTGAGTCCCCAGCAAACTGCAGCAACCCTTCAGAAGAGGGACCTGACTGTCGAAAGAAAAGCAGAAAGTGACAAGAACAGCA